ATTATTATTATTATTATTATTATTATTATTATTATTATTATTATTATGCTTCTTTTTCCCCACTATTTTTACTTGGAATTACAGTTGGTTATTTCACAAGTGGATTAAGGCCTAGAAGAACGTGAAGATTTTGAATTGTCTGAAATGAGTAGGAGCCCCTGGTTCCTCAACTTCTACTTCTTCCTCTTCACCATCTGGAGGACAACGCTCAATACAGACGATGTTACAGCAAGAAAAAGAACAGGAAAAAGTGATGCTGCAGATGATTATGCAAGGAATTCAAAATATACAAATAAGAACAGAGAATATTGAAAAGAGAACAGAGACCATTGAACAAAGAACAGGAAAAACTGATGAAAAGGTGGAGAACATTGAACAAATGATGATGAAGTATGATGAGAGATTCCAAAAAATCGAAGAAGAAGATAAACAAAGAGATAAGAAGATTGGAGATATTGATAGCAGATTAACTGTGGTTGAACAAGATAAAAGTGGGATGTAAAGATGGGAGATGGACAGATCAGAATTTTATCTCAGATTCCAAAACATAAAGGGACAAAACCTACCTGAGATAATGATAGAAATTTTGGCTGAAGCTCTGGAAATAACTAAAGAGAAGATGATGCATGGAATAGACAAGGTTTATTGAGTCTTCACAAGATATGCAATGAGAAATAGCCTACCAAGAGAAGTTCACATCAGATTTACAAAGAAAGCCATTAAAACGCAAATATTGCAATTATATGAGACTATTATGGGAAACTATACACACGAGAGAATATTGATGAGAAAAGAGTTAAACAGTACTTACAGAATGCTAATCTACCCCAGATGCCTAAAGAGATTGAAACAATGTTAGAAAGCAATATAACTGAAGCACTTAAGAAGCAAAACAATGGAAAGGCACCAGGCCCAGATGGACTTCCAGCAGAATTTTATAAAACACTACAAGAATAATTGAACCTCCCATTGCTAGAAGTTATGAATGAAGTTATGTTAAAGAAGAAGATACCCAAATCATTGTCAGAAGCTTATATTACACTTGTCCCAAAAGAGGAGGCTGATCCATTACAAATCAAGAACTATAGACCTATTTCCTTACTAAATGCAGATTATAAAATTTTTGCTTCAATATTGGCAGAAAGACTTAAAAAATACTTAAATAATTTTATTCATCCTGATCAAAATGGATTTCTGTCAAGAGACAAATTAAAGACAATATGAGAGTAATCTTGGACACTTTGCACACAATACTACGAGGCACACCCTGAAAAACAAATGGCTTTGATATTTTTAGATGCACAAAAGGCATTTGATAATGTGAATTGGCGATTCATGTTATTACAGCTGGAACAGATGGGCTTTGGTAAAAAAAATTATTCAAGCAATAGAAGCTATATATCATAACCAAATAGCAAAGGTAATGATAGAGGGAGAACTGACAGACTCTATTGATATAAGAAAAGGAACAAGACATGGGTGCCCATTATCACCTTTCTTGTTTGTGTTAACCTTGGAAGTGTTAAACAGAAATATTAGAGAAGAAAAGGATATAAAAGGGATGAAAATTAAAAAGGAAGAATTTAAGTTGCAAGCATTTGCAGATGATCTGGTTTTCATGTTAGAAGACCCACTAGAAACAGCACCAAAATTGATAGAAAAGATAGAGGTATATGGAAAGGTGCCTGGTTTGAAAATAAATAAAGATAAAACAAAGATTTTGACACAGAATATGCTATCAAGACAAAAGGAAGAACTGGCAGATGTATTGAAAATTCAGGTTAGCAAGAATAGCAAGAATGTTCAAGAACAAATCTGAAAAATGTTGGAAATGTCATCAGATACCTGGCTCATATTACCATATGTGGTGGACTTGTGCGGATGCCAAAAAATATTGGACTAAAATCCACACGTGGTTGGAAAAAATGACAAAAAACCATATAGACTTGAAACCAGAGATATTTTTATTGGGAATTTTACCTGATATATATGGTAAAGAATTGAAATATCTGATTGTAAATGTATTAACAGCGGCTAGGATTGTATTTGACAAAAACTGGAAAAATGAGAAAATACCACTGCAGGAGGAAATCATTAAGAAAATATTGGAATGTGCTGAAATGAGTAGATTGACATTTGAAATCAGAGAACAAGATGATAAACAATTTTATAAAATTTGGGATCTATTCTGTCAATGGTTAGACAATAAAACATGGTAATGAAATATGTAGATTCTTAGAAAATAATAAATATATAAAGATGTATTTTTTTCTTATTATATCTACAAAATGATTGTAGGATAGACTTGAGATGATAATATGAACTGTCATAAAACAAATTAAGTAAAATATGGATTATTTCATAAAACATGAATGAATAAAAGTATGGTCAAATGATTAATGATGATATTAATGTATTTAATATTTGATTGAAAACATGAGAATATATACAATGTAATTGTAATTGAAGACTATGAAATGGAAGCACAAAACAATTTGTAAACCAACCAACACACTGTATGCATATATATATGAAAGATGGCTTGATGTTTTTATGTTTTTTTTGTCTATGTTTGTCTTAAAAACCAATAAAAATTTTTTTTTAAAAAAAACAACTCCTCTTTTCTTGCATCGTGTCAACAGAGTAAATATTTTCCCTAGTTTTGGCTGTACCAGTATTTGTTCATGTTGCTTTTTAATATGTACTTCTTGTAGGCAGATTATATCAAATTTTAATTTCTCTAGTTTATGAAATGTTTTCCTTCTTTTAACAGCAGAGTTAAGTCCATTTATGTTGATTGTAATCAGTTTTTTCTCTTCCATGTTTATAGTTTATAAGAAGGATTTATTGCTCTGGTAGATCTTGGTTCTCGTTGTTCTCTGGGTTCCACTCTGCCTCCTACTGCACCTTCCTCTTTTTCAGTCACTTCTTCCTCTTGGAATCTAATGAATACCTCTCCTCTTCCTACCTCTTCCTCTTTCCCTCTGAAATATTTTGCATAGAATAATTCTGCTTTCTCAGTTGAGTCTATTCTGTGCCTTTGTTCTTGCCATGTAAACATGAGACCTTCTGGTATCAGCCACCTGTAATTAACACCTTTTTAAAGTAGTATTTTAGTCAAGAATTGATTTTCTCTTCTCATTTCTCTCACTCTTCTCGATGCTTGTTTCAGGACCCCAATCTCCTTGTCTTTACATTTCAATGTTTTCTCTCTTGCCATCTGTAGTATTTGCATTTTAATTGCTTTCTTGGTAAATCTTATATGGACTTCTCTAGGTAGCTTATTTCTCTCTGCATATCTTGTAAAAACTCGAAACACTTCATCTATTCTATCCATCATCTTTTCTTTGATTATCTCCAATGCTTCTGCCAGGATTTATATCATTATTTCTGCCAAATTTTCTCCCTTTTCTTTTTTTATATTTTGAAATCTGAGATAAAATTCTGATCTATCAATCTCCCATCCCAACATTCCACTCTTGTCTTGTTCAACCACGCTCAATCTGTTGTCAATATCTCCAATTTTCTTATCTCTTTATTCATCTTTTTCTTCAATTTTTTGAAATCTGTCCGCATATTTCATCATCATTTGGTGGTAGTTCTCAATTTTTTCATCTGTTTTTTCTGTTCTTTGTTTAATATTCTATGTTCTCTTTTCAATATTCTCTGTTCTCACTTCTATTTTTTGAATTCCTTGCATAATCATCTACAATGTCACTTCTTTTTCTTTCTCATGTTCCTTTTCCTGCTGCAACATCATCTGTATTGATCATTGCCTCCAGATGGTGAAGAAGAGGAAGAGCCAGTGGCCATTATCTTTCTACTCATTTCCAAACGATTGATAAACTATACAATAGCTGAGAGGTACAAGGTCTTCAGGTTCTTCTACACCTTAATACACTTATATAAAGGCCAAATATAATCCCAAGTTGCAGTAAAAAAAACCTCTTCAGGTTCTTGTACACCTTAATCCAATTAATTCTAATTAGTTAGGAAAAATTTGACTGATCAGTCACAATAAAAAACAACAATAAAATTCTTCAGGTTCTTCTATACCTTCTTCTATACATGGCAGTGTTAATTATCCTCTACTTTCACTTCCCTCCTTGTATCCAAATCAAAATAAAAAAAATGAGAAGTACTTTAAAGAATAAAATTAATTGGAAACTATACAATAAAACACTAAAAAGAAAATGGAAGAAAATCTATCACCTGAAAAGGATTATTAAGTAATTATAAAAAGAAGAAGAAAAAAACAGTCCAGTTTAAAATTGAAAGGCGTTTGTAAAAAATCCAGCAATAAAAAAAATAAAAAGACACTAAAGTTGATTTGAGACTTAATCTCATAGCTTATCCTCTTCTGTCTTCGATTTTAACTTTTTCTTTTATCCCCTTAGGGTGTTCTCTTAAATAATAGAATTTAAAGAGTATCTCATCAAACCGACATTTTTATCTCCTGCTTTCTTCTTCCATTCCGGACCTGTCCCAATTTCAGCATGAAATGGCTGCCTCTCTGCCGCTGGAAAAAAGGGCTTCTCCTGGATCTACCAGGGACTTTGTGATGTCCCTGGGATTGAAAGGATGTGCCCTTCTCTCTCACCATCTCTATGGGATGGTTTAGGTCCAAAAGGACTGTCCAGCAGCAGAGATATCAACGGCGATCTTGGAGCTTCAAGATCGCACGTCTGTATCGTCATGACCTCAGCCCCTCCCCCCTTCTATTATATTGTTATCAACACATTATCACTTTAATTATAAATTCACATCATTATTTTTGAGCAAATCTCAAATATTACATGACCTAATATTTAATAATATTCATTTCATTATAATCAATTATAACACATCTTTACCTTATCTTGTCATTACTATTATATTTATATTGTATTTTATTTCCTTATTTTCTTATCTAGCCATTGATAAAATATATCCCAGATTTTATAATATTCTTTATCTTCTTGCTCTCTAATTGCTAATGTCAATTTACTCATTTCCGTACATTCCATTATTTTCTTAATCACCTCCTTTTCTATTGGAATTTTTTTCACTTTTCTAATTTTTGGCAAATACAATTCTAGCTGCTGTTAAAACATTTGCAAACAAATATATCAATTCTTTACTGTATCTTTCAGGTAAGATATCCCATAAAAATTATCTCTGGTTTCAAGTCTATATGCTATTTTGTCATTTTTTCTAGCCATGTATGAATTTTAGTCCAGGTATCTGATGACACTTCCAACATTTCTCTGATTTGTTCTTAAATATCCTTGCTCTTCTTGCTGGGGGAAGATGTCACCTATAAAACATCTTATACAAATTTTCTTTATATGTTGTTGACATTGTTATTTTATAGTTTCGAGACCATCGTTTCTGCCATCTTTCTAAATCTATCCCATATCCAAAATTTTTCCCCCAGGAAATCATTGTTTTTTTTACTTTGTTGCTCTTCTAATTTTACTCCAAGTAAATATCCATATAATTTTTTAATCACCTTCTCATCAGTACCTGTCAAAATTCCATCTAATTCAGTTAGTTCATTATAAAATCCTTCTGTCCTACGATCTTTATCGTATCTAGAATGTATTTGCACATATGAATACCAATTCATCTCTATTCCTTGTTCCTCTAGTTCTTGCTTAGATTTGAGTTCGCCCTTTTTATTTAATACTTCACCATATCTTACTGTTTGTTCCATTTTATAAACAACTGGATATGCAAATGCCCCTACGGTTGAGAACCAGACTGGTATTTTCATGTAATGTTGTTTCCTTACCTTCTCTCAAACTAATAATAGAGCATCATGAATATGACGTCTCCTAAAATACCCATGTGTTTTACTTTCCTTATACCATAAAAAAGCGTGCCATCCCAATAATAGCTCATGACCTTCTAATGTTAACAAACTAGTATTCCTTAAGACTATCCATTCTTTCACCCACATTAGTATTATCATCTGGTAATTCCCAAGTGGGAAGACCAAAACCTCCTCTTGATCTAGCATCTTGTAATAATTTTAATTCTTGCCTTCTTTCCCTGCCCTATACTTCAGTATTACTTTATTTAAATCCTTGAAATATTCTTTCCCTAGTTTAAGGTGAATTATCTGAAACAAATATAAAAACCTTGATATATTCATCTTAATTGTAGATATTCTCCCTATTAGAGATAATTGTAGATTTCCCCATTTTTTCAAATCTGTCGCAATCTGTTGTTTGAGTTGATAATAATCATCTTTTTTTTAAATAAGTATTTTTTATTTTTTTAAACAAACACCAGACAAAACAATACATAAAAACAAAACCATCTTTCAATTACATACAGTGTGTTGACTGGTTGCAATCCTTTTGTGCTATGTGTCCATAGTCCTCCTTCACAAGTCACATAAATTCTCATATTTTCCATTTTTTCTATATATATATAAGTATTATTATCATTGTGGTTATCTATAAAATATATCATTTCCACACTTTTTTTTCTAACCATTGATAAAATAAATCCCATATCTTATAATATTGTTTTTCTTCTTGTTCTCTAATTTCAAATGTCAATTTACTCATTTCAGCACATTCCACTATTTTCTTAATAACTTCCTCCTGTGTTGGTATTTTCTCATTTTTCCAATTCTTTGCAAATACATTTCTAGCTGCTGTTAGTACATTCACAATCAAATATATCAGTTCTCTACTGTATATCTCTGGTACAATACCCAATAAAAATATATCTGGTTTAAGATCAATATGACTTTTTGTCATTTTTTTCCAACCATGTGTGGATTGTAGTCCAATATTTTTTTGCCTCTGCGTGTGTCCACCACATATGGTAAAATGAGCCAGGTATCTGATGACATTTCCGACATTTTTCAGATTTGTTCTTGAACATTCTTGCTATTCTCGTTGGGGGAAGATGCCACCTGTAAAACGTCTTACACAAATGTTCTTTATATGCAGCTGACATTGTCATTTTATAACTTTGAGACCATAGTTTTTGCCATCTCTCTAAGTCAATCCCTTATCCAAAATTTTTCCCCCATGCAATCATTGTTTCTTTAACATGTTCTTCTTCTAATTTAACCTCTAATAAATATCCATATAATTTCTTAATCACCTTTTCATCAGTACCTGTTAAAATTTTATCTAAGGCAGTCAATTTATCATAAAAACCTTCTGTTTTGAGATCTTTATCATATCTAGAATGTATCTGCGCATATGAAAACCAATTCATCCTTATACCTCGTTGCTCCAGTTCTTGCATAGATTTAAGTTCACCCTTTTCATTCATAATTTCGCCATACCTAACTGTTTGTTCCATTTTATATATCACTGGATATGAAAACTCTTCTATAGTTGAAAGCCAGACTGAAATTTTCAAATAGTGTTGCCTTTTAATCTTCTCCCAATTTAATAATAAAGCCTCTCGCATATAGTGTCTTCTAAAATATCCATGTGTTTTAGTTCCCTTGTACCATAGGAAACATGCCAACCCAACAACAAATCATATCCTTCAAGTGCCAATAATCTAGTATTTCTCAATGTAATCCATTCCTTGACCCACATCAGAGTTGTTGCTTGATAATGTAACTCCCAATTTGGCAGACCGAACCCACCTCTTATTCTAGCATCTTGCAACATCTTTAATTTTATTCTTGCCTTTTTCCCCTGCCAGATATATTTCAGCACGATTTTATTTAACTCATCAAAATATTCTTTCCCTAATCTAATTGTAATTGTCAGGAACAAATATAAAATTCTTGGTAAAATATTCATTTTAATTGTTGATATTCTCCCTATTAATGATAATTGTAAGTTTTCCCATTTTGCCAAGTCTGTCACAATCTGTTGCTTGAGCTTATTATAATTATTCTCTTTAAGTGTGCCACATCTTGTTGTCAAATGTATTCCCGGGTATTTAACCTTATTTGTGACCTGGATTTCCAAGACTTCTGCCAATTCTTCCCTCTGTTTTACTAGCATATTCTTTGTCAGAATATTTGTTTTATCTTTATTTATTTTTAAACCAGCTACCCCTCCATATTCCTCTATCTTTTCTATCAAGCTAGTCACTTCTTTCGCTTCTCTTATATCTCTAGTTAGCACTTCTAATGTTAACACAAACAACAGAGGTGACAGCGGGCAACCTTGTCTTGTACCTTTCTTTATAACAATAGAATCTGTTAATTCCCCATTAATCATTACCTTTGCTGTTTGATCATGATATATAGCTTCTATGGCTTGAATAAATTCCTTACCAAAGCCCATCTGTTCCAATTGTAATAACATAAATCGCCAATTTACATTATCAAAGGCTTTCTGTGCATCTAAGAATATCAAGGCCATTTGTTTTTCAGGATGTGCCTCGTAGTATTCCGATGTGTCCAGGATAGTTCTTGTATTGTCTTTAATATGTCTCTTTGGTAGAAATCCATTTTGATCGGGGTGAATAAAATTATTTAAATATCATTTGAGTCTTTCTGCCATTATTGAAGCAAAAATTTTATAGTCTGAGTTCAATAAGGAAATGGGTCGATAGTTCTTAATTAGTTGCGGGTCCGCTTCCTCCTTTGGCACAAGTGGAATATATGCTTCTGACCATGATTTATGTGTCCTCTTTTTAAACATAACTTCATTCGTAACTTCCAGAAGCAAAAGGTTCAACTGCTCCTGGAATGTCTTATAAAATTCAGCTGGCAATCTGTCCGGGCCTGGTGCTTTTCCATTATTTTGTTTTGTAATTGCTTCCATTAGTTCCATCATCGTTATGTTTCCTTCTAACATCATTTCAATATCTTTTGGTATCTGGGGCAAATTCGCTTTCTGTAGATAATGTTTAATCTTCCCTTCCTCTATTATCTCTTGTTCATATAACTTCCGATAAAAGTCCTGTACAATTTTTTTCTTCTCTGTGTTTCCAAAGCAGGCTTGCCCTTGGTCATCTATCAATTGAGCTATTTTTCTTGATTCTTTCTCCTTTTTCAGTTTATATGCTAACCATCTGCCTGATTTATTTGCATCTTCAAAATAGTTTTGCTTAGCATTTCTAATTTTCTGTGCTAGTTCCTCTTTTTCCATTAGTCCCATTTTGTGTTTAACTATGTCCATTTGTATTTTCACATCTTTTTTTAATCGTGATTTTTGTAATTCTTTCTCAAGTCTCTTGTAGTCATCCTCTAACCTTTTCAACACTTGTCTTTTCTTTTTGTTTCTTATCTTTGTATAGTCTATTATCAAACCCCTAGAGTAAGCCTTCATTGTATCCCACAAGTTTTGTATTGATGTATCTTCCATTCTATTCTCCTTGAAAAAGAAATTATAGTTATATTAGTTATATTGTTATCTGCTATTCATAGTATTACTGTTTACTGCTTATCTTAGTTTATAGTTTTTTTCTTCTTCTTTTAATAGTGGAATTTACAATTCCAAGCAGGGAGTGTGCTGTCCAGCCAGTGTATGGAAATTGGATAGTTAGGTAGCAATTGTGAGCTGTCCCCTTAAGGGAATGCATCATGGTAAATGTAGTTAAGGTATCCTGAGAAATGTAGTCCATATCACATTGACCACATCTGTAATCCTGATTGGTCACTAAATTGACCCTTGATGGGTTGGGAGAGTTTTTCCTCACTTTTGCCTGAACTCCCTAACTCATGGCAGTTGCTTTCTATTGCTACGAGTTGGGTTAGGAGATAACCATCTTATACTACTAGGCAGATATGCAAAGGATTGGTCATTAGAGAAGAACTTCATCACAAATGTGAGTTATGAGGATACCTGATGAACCAATAAACGTACTTCATTATGGATGTCTTGTTGAGTTTATCTATCTGCATCTGCACAGCTTAAAAATCCACTACTGTGCAGAAGACAGAAAATTTCCTCTGAAGTATTCTCCATAGAATAATTCTGCTTTCTGTATTGAATATAATCTATGTCTTTGCTCTTGCCAGGTAAATATAAGACCATCAGGAAACAACCATCTATAGTTCACTCCCTTTTTAATTATTTTTTTTGTCAGGAATTGATACTCTCTTCTCATTTCTCTCAGTTTTCTTGGTACTTGTTTTAGGACTGTAATCTCCTTGCCTTTGTATTTCAGTGGTTCATCTCTTGCACTTTGCAGTATTTGTGTTTTAATTGCTTTCTTAGTAAGTCTTACATGGACTTCTCTAGATACTTCGTTTCTCATTGCGTATCTTGTAAAACTAGGAACGCCTTGTCCATTCCATCCATCGTTTTCTCTTTGGATATCTCCAAGGCCTCTGCCAGACTGGCATTTCCTAAAGAGCCCAGAGAAATGAGGCTGAGACCACAGAACAACCTTTGCACTCCTGCCTTGGGCAGAGGGTTGGACTAGAAGACTTCCACAGTCCCTTCCAGCCTTACGATTGTGTGTGAAGCAGAGCAAGAAACCTAGGGAGCTGATCACCGGCTGGCCCCGGATGTTCCCTGGAGTTGCCTTGAACATGTGCTAGCCTGGCCAGAGAAGCAACTGGCCCTTTGCCACATGGCTCCCCTCTCCAGCAGCAGCCACCGAGGCAGGGAGGAATCTGTTCCAGGGAGGGTGGGAAAAGCCTGGGGGCCGGTGGGGGGGGGGGGAAAGCACCACTCTGAGGCAGGTCTCCATCTCCCACAGTTCCGCTCAGTTATGGGTGTCTCCACCTGGAGCCTAGAGCCGAGCACCAACTGTTGTGGATTCACATCTGGGACTGTTTCTCTTTTCTCCTGGGTGGAACAGCTGTTTATGATCCTTTTCAATTTCATGTGCTCCCTTTTTTGCAGGGCAGCAGACCCACTCACAGCCTTGGGCCACAGCAGATTTATTTATTCATTTGGGAAACATACATTCACCAATCAGAGTCTGCCTGAACCCCGTCATCCTCTTCCCTTCCTGCCCAGGGTCAGTTTAGGCAACGTCATTCATTGAGACAATAGGAAAAAGGGAGTTTGAAGAGGGCCTCTGTTCTTCAGTCTCCATTTTTCAGCACAGAAAGCTCAAACTCGCCCCTCCCAAGCCGAGTTGTCCCTTGCTTTCTGGACAGGTCATTGTTCAGTTGAGTCTGCAGCAGGGCCTGGGCAGCTGAGAATTAGCCTTGCATTCAACAAGCCCCCCCTGGACAAAACAGGCTGTGGCCTTACACACCGTCCTAAGTGGTGCCCTTCCGTGGAAGTGGGCAGGGGATCCATCTCACCACACTCACCCTATGAGCACCCCAGCTGTTGTCCCTGGTCACAGCTCAAAGACTGTGAATCCCACCTCTGAAACCAGTTTCTGTGGAATCCAATGCAGGACCCCAAAAACTAATCATCATACCTCAACGTAGTATGTATTTAATTAACTGTGCCCTGAAGGAATTCCCCCCAGAACATAATGAGAGAGGCTCCTTCAGGCAGAAGGATTGTCCCCGTAGTCATACATTCCAGGAAAGGAGGAGAAGGTCACAGTCATACATATGCATAGGTGATAGATGATGTAAGAATGAATATTCACACTCAGAAAACCTCAAGTTACTTTCCTAGCTTTCTACTCCTAATATTATCAAGAAAGATCGTCTTAATAAGAAGAAGTTTTGAGAAAGCACCCTGAAAAGCAAGGCTGTCCCAACTAGTGTACACACCTTCTCTGTTTGCACTGTGCCTACAGCTCCGAGACTTTGTTTCCCCTCATGGTGCCTTCCCTTTCCTCTCTCTGCAGGATCTCTCTGACCATTGCAGGAGGCTCAGCGGCAGCAGTGGCAGCGGCAGTAATGGAAGCCTCACAGCCAAGTGGCTCAACGACCCCCAACATCAGAAGCATCTCAGGAGTCTTTGTGGAGGCTTCTGGCAAGACCACGAGCCTGGCACAAGCTCTCCAGGACCACCTGATCCAACCGGATGTTGCCCTGGCCCTGCTGGAAGCCCAGGCAGCCACAGGGGGCATCATTGACCCCAAGGGTGAGTGTCTCCTCTCTGTGGTGGAGGCCCTGGCAGTGGGATTGGCAGGGCTGGAAATGAAGGAGAAGCTGCTGTGCGCAGAGCGGGCAGTGACAGGTTTCCCTGACCCCTACACAGGGGAGAAGATCTCCCTCTACCAGGCCATCCAAAAAGAGCTGATTGGAAGAAAGCTGGGCTTGCATCTCCTGGAAGCCCAGATAGCCACCGGAGGGGTCATTGAGCCCGTTTCTGGCCATCGCATCCCTCAGCAAGAGGCCTGTGCACGGGGCTATTTGGACGTGGACGTGAGCGACTCCCTCTCTGATCCAGGGAACGAGGAGGCCAAGGGCTTCAGGGATCCCAATACTGACCAGAGGGTCACCTACACAGAACTGATGAGAAGATGTGTTGCAGACCCAGCCAGAGGCCTGCTCTTGCTGCCTCTCAAGATCTCTTTCCCTGGACTGAGAGGGGCTGTGTGTAGCCGGGAGCTGATGGATTCTGGAGTCATTGACTCCACCACATTTGAAGCCCTCCAGAAGGGGGAGATGACAGTGCAGGAAGTGGCAGAGATGGACTCAGTGCAACAGTCCACGTCGGAGATCACCAGCATTGCTGGAGTAGCCATCCTGCCAACGAATGAACGCAAGAGCCTTTACCAAGCATTAGTAGAGCACCTCCTCCCTCCTGGCACAGCTGAAATTCTGTTGCAGGCTCAGGTGGCCTCGGGCTATTTAATCGACCCTGTAAAGAACACAAAATTAACTGTGGCTGAGGCCATCCAGGCAGGAATTGTTGGGCCGGAGCTGTTTGGGAAATTGACTTCAGCTGAGAGAGCAGTCACAGGATACAAAGACCCCTACACAGGGGAGACCATCTCTTTGTTTCAAGCCATGCAGAAACACCTGGTGCCCAGGAACCCAGGACTTTTCCTGCTAGATGCCCAGCTCGCCACGGGAGGCATCATTGATCCACACGCCTATCACCGACTTCCGACAGAGATGGCCCTGCAGAGGGGCCACTTGGATGAAGAGACGTACAAGCTGCTGTGCAACCCTACGGACGAGGCCCGTGGATTCTTTGAGCCCAACTCAAAGGAGAAGTTGTCCTATGGGGAGCTGCTCTTGCGGGGCGTCTCTGATCCAGATACCGGGCTCTGTCTCTTGCCTCTTGCTGGAGATCATGAGGGGAGTCATACCTTCATTGACCACAATACAAAGCTGGCCCTGGAAAACACCACGGTGTCGGTGGCCTCCAGTAGGTTCAAGGGAAGGCCCATATCCCTCTGGAAGCTACTCTTCTCAGAATACCTGACGGGAGAGCAGAGGAGAACTCTTATGCAGCAATTCTCCTGCGGGTTCCTTTCTCCTCAGCAGCTGGCTGACAAAATCCGTCTCATGGTGGAACAAACCGTTGCCGACTCCCGGGTCACCTTTGAAGGCCTGAGGGAAAAGGTGACACCTGCCCAGCTCCTGAGCTCTGAAATCATCAACAGAGACTTATTTGAGAAGTTAACGCAGGGAGAGACCCTGGTCAAAGACGTGATTAACATGGCCACAGTGAAGAAGTACTTGGAAGGGACTGGCAGCATTGGTGGGCTGCTCCTGCCTGACTCCCAGGAGAGAATGAGCATCTATGAAGCCAAGAGGAAGGGCTTCCTCCGCCCAGGGACGGCACTTATCCTCTTGGAGGCTCAGGCGGCCACAGGACACATCATTGACCCCGTGGCGAATGAGAGATATTCTGTGGATGAGGCCTTGCGTGGCAACATCATAGGTCCAGATGTGTATAGCAAGTTGCTGGCGGCTGAGAAAGCAGTGACTGGCTATAAGGATCCTTATACTGGGAGCAAGATCTCCCTTTTCCAGGCAATGAAAAAAGACCTCATCGTGACAGAACATGCCATTCGCCTTCTGGAGGCCCAGATCGCCACTGGAGGCATCATTGATCCTGTCAATAGCCACCGCCTCCCAGTGGAAGTGGCCTACAAACGGGGCTATTTTGAGAAGAAAATGAGCCTGATCCTGTCAGATCCCAGGGATGACACCAAAGGCTTCTTTGATCCAAACACCCATGAGAACCTAACTTACCTACAGTTAAAGGAGAAGTGCATTGTGGAACTCACCACAGGCCTCTGCCTCCTGCCACTCAACAGCAGGAAGCACCAACCCCTGGATGATGCCACCAAGCAGGCCTTCAGGAGCTCCTGGCTCTTTGTCAAACACGGGCGCTTCCAAGGACAGAGAGTCTCCTTGTGGGATCTGCTGAACTCAGAGTATTTCAGTGAGGGAAAGAGAAAGGAAGTCTTCAACCACTACAGACTTCAGAAGGTCACCCTGGAGCAGATCTGCCTCTCCCTTGAAGAGGAAATGAAGAAGTGGGCTTGCATCCAGTTCCCAGCTCTCCGAGGGAAGGTCAGTGCTTACCACCTGCTGGAGAGAGGCATCATTGACCGGACTCTCTTTGAGGAGATCCTAGATGGAGTGGTGAGCCCAGAGGACGTGCTGCACCTGGATTCAGTCCGAAGGTACCTCTATGGCATGGGAAGCATAGGGGGAATTCTGCTGCAACCCTCCAATGAGAAACTGAGCCTCTATGAAGCTATGAAAAGGAACATGGTGGTGCCTGGAGTTGCCTTGCCCTTGCTGGAGGCCCAAGCAGCCACTGGGTTCCTTGTGGATCCAGTGAGCAGCCAAAGACTTTCCCTGGATGATGCAGTGAAGAAAGGCCTGGTTGGCCCTGAGCTTTATGAGGTGTTGCAGCAGGCTGAAGAAGCTGTCACTGGCTACAGGGACCCCTTCACCGGCAAGATAATCTCCCTCTTCCAAGCAATGAAGAAAGGCCTTTTGCCAGACAGGAAAGCCAGGCAGTTGATGGATGCCCAGCTGGCTACTGGGGGGGTCATTGATCCACACAGCGGCCACTATGTCCCCATAGAATTTGCCCAGAAAAGTGGCTACCTGGATGAGGAGTTTGGGAAAACCCTTTCCAACCCGAGTAGTGATTCCAAGGCTTTCAGCACCCTGGACAGGAAAGAGAGGGTCAGCTATGGGCAGTTGATGGACCAGTGTCAGAAGGAGGCACATTCGGGCATTCAGCTCTTGCCTCTGGCACAAACAGCTTCTGCTTGCTCCACTGAAGAGCAAGTCCAGCAGTGCTTGAAGGAGACCTTCATTGAGGACAAGGGGGTCTCTCTCTGGGACCTGCTGAGTTCCGGCTACTTCACTGAGGAGCAGAAGTCAGACTTTTTGGATAAGCACAGCTCCGGAGCAGTTTCCCTTCACCAGCTGGTCAGCCTTGTCCAGCAGCTTATAAATGACATAGAAATGAAAGCTAAGACGCAGGTCACTTTCCAAGGTCTGAGAGGAGCAGTGCCAGCCGTCTGGCTCCTGGATGCAGGCATCCTTTCAGAAAAGGTGTTCACTGAGCTAGCCCAGGGCAAAAGATCACCCAGCGAAGTGTCTGAGATGGAAAGCGTCAAGCTGTACTTGCAGGGCACAGGGAGCATTGCTGGAGTTTTCGTTCAGGCCTCCAAGGAAAAAATGGGCATTTACCAAGCTATGCAGGAAAGGCTCCTCTTGCCAGGGATGGCGGCACAGCTGCTCAGCACCCAGGCAGCCACCGGCTCCATCGTGGACCCAGTGTCTAATCGGCGGTTTGGTGTGGAGGATGCCATCAAAAGTGGCATCGTGGGAGAAGAGCTGATGGAAGAGCTGCTGCAAGCCGAGAGGGCGGTGACCGGCTTCCCTGACCCCTACACAGGGAAACCACTCTCGGTGTGCCAGGCTATCAGGAAGGAATTACTCCCTGCCAGGGTGGGCATCCCCATGCTCGAGGCCCAGCTGGCCACTGGAGGAATCATCGACCCTGTTCATTGCCATCACCTGCCCCTCCGAGTGGCCTTCAAGCATGGCTTGATTGATGAAGAAATGCAGAGGGCTCTTTCTCAGGACAGCAAGGAGAGCCAGGTTTTCTTTGACCCGAATACCCAGGAGAGCCTGACCTACCAGCAGCTGAAAGACAGGTGCATCCAGGACCCTGAGTCGGGGCTCTGGCTTCTCCCACTGACTGAAGAGGCAGCTTTTTATGGAGACCAGCAAGCCATGGAAGTGCTAAACTCTTTCTCCGTCTCGATCAGCATCGGGAGGTTTAAAGGACAAGAAGTTTCTCTCTGGGACTTGCTCCACTCGGAGTACATCCCGAAGGCCAAGCGGAGGGAGCTGGTGCTGAGATACAAAGACGCGCATGAGGAGCTCCTTCATGAAATGGCATCATCCATCAAGAAGATCATCAAAGAGACGGAGCAGCAAAGCCAGAGGTTCACTTTCAAAGGCCTAAGGAAGAAGGTGTCAGCCAGCGACCTCTTCCAGTCCCAGCTCATAGACAAGATGACCCTGGACGAACTCCAGCAGGGGAAGACAACTGTCCAGGAAGTCAGTGAGATGGAGTCCGTCAAGCGCTTTCTGGAGGGGTGCAACTTCATTGCAGGGGTCCTCATAGAACCAGATCATGAGAAAATGAGCCTCTACCAAGCCATGAGGCGAGGCCTGCTGAGACCAGGGGCAGCTCTGGTCTTGCTGGAGGCCCAGGCAGCCACAGGGTACCTCATTGACCCAGTAAAGAACAAGAAGCTCTCCGTGGATGAAGCAATGGCAGCAGGGCTGATTGGAAAAGAAATTTATGAGAAGCTGCTGAGTGCAGAAAAAGCCGTCACTGGATACACAGATCCCTACACCAAAGGGCAGATCTCTCTCTTTGAGGCCATGAATCAGGAGCTGATTGTGAGGAGCCATGGCATCCGCCTGATGGAGGCACAGATTGCCACGGGGGGCATCATCGACCCTGTGCACAGCCACCGCATCCCCGTGGAGGTTGCCTATAAGCGAGGCTACTTTGATGAAGACCTGAACCGCATCCTTCTGGACCCCACAGATGATACCAAAGGCTTTTTCGACCCCAATACACATGAGAACCTCACTTATCTTCAGCTTCTGGAACGCTGCACCCAAGATTCAGAAACTGGGCTGTACATGCTGCAGGTTGTCAGAAAAGGGGAAAGCTATTTCTACATTGACGAGGCAACAAAAGAATTTTTGAAAGCACAGACTATGCACGTACAGGTAGGCCGGTATAAAGGCCAGGCAGTCTCTCTGTGGGGCCTCCTCTGCTCCCCATATATCCATGAACAGAAGAGGAAAGATCTGGTCAGGCAGTATAAGGATGAGAAGGTCACTTTGCCACAGCTCTGCAAAACCATCACCGCCATTGTGGAGGAAACAGAACAGGCAGCCCAGAAGCTCAAGCTGAAGGGGCTGAGGGGGCAAGAGGTGTCTGCCGCAGAGCTCTTCAATGCAGAAATCATTGACAAGGCAACTTTGGACAGACTGCACCAGAAGACCCTTCCTCTGCAGCAGCTTGCCCAGAGGGACGCCGTGAAGCGCTACCTGGAGGGGACAGGCTGCATTGCAGGTGTCTTGGTAGCCGGACAGGGGTTGAAGCTGCTTGCCTATGAGGCCATGAAGAGAGGCTTTCTCTCCCCAGAACATACTCTGCTACTCCTAGAGGCCCAGGCTGCCACAGGCCTCCTCACCGATCTGCTGGAGAAGAAGCCCTCCTCAGTTGACCAGGCCATCTCTCTTGGGCTGGTTGGGGAAGAGTTTCACAAGGCACTCCTCCTTGCTGAGAAAGCCATTACTGGATATACTGACCCCTCCACAGGGGACAAGCTCTCCCTTTTCCAAGCCATGAAAAGGAACCTGGTAGAGAAAGCCTATGCCCTCCGGCTGCTGGAGGCACAGGTGGCCACAGGTGGAATCATTGACCCTATACACAGTCACCGCCTCCCTGTGGAGGTGGCTTGCAGACGGGGCTACTTGGATGAAGAAACTTGCCTCCTACTATCTGATGAGGGGCTTCTTCCCAAAGGATTTGTAGATCCCAATACCCAGGAAAGGATTACCTACACTCAGCTCCTGCTCAGGTGCACCAAAGATGCAAAGACAGGTGCATACCTGCTGCCGTTACGAGAGAAGAGGGAATATATCATTGTGGATGAACAAACTAAGCAGGTCCTCTCATCTTGCAAAATAAAAGTAGGCCTTGGGAAATACAGGGGACAACCAATTTCCCTTTGGGAACTTCTTTCTTCGGACTACGTTACGGAAGAGAAGAAGAAAGAAATGATAAAAAAGTATAAGGAGGGGAACTGGACAGTTCTGCAGAGTATCACAAGGCAAATACGGAAGATCATAGAGGAAAGAGAAGACCACAGAAAAGACATTTGGTTCCAAGGACTACGGAGGCAAGTCACAGCTTCTGAACTACTAAAGGCAGACATCATTAATGAAGAAGTTATGCACAATTTGGAAGCAGGAACAGAGAAAGCACAAGATGTAGCAAAGAGGGATTCGGTGAAGAGGTACCTGGAAGGCAACAGCTGCATTGCTGGCGTGCTGGTGCCCTCCAGGACAGACCCTTCCAAGTCAGAGAAGATGACCATCTACCAGGCCATGCGGAAAGGCATTCTGAGGCCAGGCACGGCCCTGGTGTTGCTGGAGGCACAGGCTGCCACGGGCTTTGTCATGAACCCACTGAAAAATGAGAGGCTCTCTGTAAGTCAGGCAGTTGAAGCTGGTGTAGTAGGGGAAGAAATACAGAAAAAACTACTCTGTGCAGAGAAAGCCGTAACAGGTTACACGGATCCAAACACAGGAAAAAGTATTTCCCTCTTCCAAGCAATGACAAAAGAATTAATCTTAAAAGAGCATGGGATCCGCCTTCTGGAAGCCCAGATTGCCACGGGGGGCATCATCGATCCTGTGCACAG